AGGCCGCTGAGGTAGGAGGATCCCAAGTTTATGGCCAGCTTAGGCTACAGAGTGAGTTCATGGTCACCCTGGAATGGATATATCCATCCCCTGACAAGACCCTGTACCCCCAAATCAGGAGTTCCATACTGAAGGGTTCTCGTGCTGCAAAGCTACGGGGATGAACCAGGTTACAATTGTTATCCAGTGTGCTAAGCACACATATATCCTACGTAACATACCACCCTCTACTTTCTTGGGTGTTAGACTCATCACCTTTGTGACAGAGGCCTGGGGAACAGGCACTGTCATTTGCTCCAACCTCCCAGGTAATTGCAGTAGCTAGGCTCAGCCTCACCACTCCACCAGCCAGAATGAAAATGTGGGCTCATCTCTTAGAAGATCTCGGTCTTCCACCAAGTCTGCCCTAACAACCCGGATTCTTGCCCAAGACTGCTTGGTAACCTCCTCTGGGCCACTTCTTTAGAGAGAAGGGAAGATTCAGACATGCCTGCCCGTAGACCATCCTATCCTACAGTACTGATGTCAACAATGCCAACATGGACCAAAGTCCTCTCTTTAGGGGTGTGTGTGTGTGTGTGTGTGTACAGGTGCGCTTGCACATTTGGGTGCGTGCGTGTAGATCTCAGGGATTTTTCCTCAGAAGCCATCTATCTTGTTCTTTGAGACAGGGTCGCTCACTGGGACCTGGGACTCACTAATTAGTCTAGGCCTGCCGGCCAGGGACCCCCGGGGTCTGCCTGCTACTACCTTCCTCAGCTCTAGGATTCCACGCACGCCAGACCATGCTCAGCTCTGCACACGGTTGTTAGAGACAGAACCTCGGGTTCCCCTGCTTGCTTAGCAAGCCTTTCACCGAGTTATCACCCAGCCCTGGGAACCTGTTTTCATAGGATTCTAAAATACAGATCTCCCCCTTCCTCCTTCTTTCCTTCCCTCCTTTTCCTCTTCCTTCGTTCCTTCCTTCCCCCCCCCCCCCCCCACTGCCTCTTCTTCCCCTCCAGTTAGTTATTGTAGCAGAAGCCCGACGGATCCTGTAGGCTTCTGGCACTAACCTCATTTCCACTTGGCCCAGGGTAAAAGCACTTCCTCCTTTCTTTCCCCCCTGGAGTCACTGCCCCTTTGTTTCTGTCTCTAATTACCCAGCTGTTTCCTTTAGTCCTGGTACCCATTAAGTAAAGGCAGCCATTCCCTTCAGCACTCTGCTCCCTCAGCACGAGATTGTTCTCTGCCACATAAAAAGCCACAAGTGGCTTTTATGGCCTCATGCATACTTAATTAGTCCAGCTTTCGAAAATTGTGCTTTAAATGAGTGAAGGCATTAGCCTCCGATCTAATTGATCCACAAAGCACCGTCTCAGGATGGCTGTAGCAACTTCAAGTGCTGGTCTCTTCGAGCATCACTGGGGCCCGCCAGAGGCTGCAAGAGAGGAAAGGCCCTGGTGTCAGGCAGGATAAGAGCCCTAGGCCTCACGGTCTGGCTCTACAAGAACTGACTGTTTTGCATCTTGCCTACAGCTGTCTGTATTCCCATCACCTGGCATCATAAATGTGCGCCTTGTGGGACGGTTTATGATGGAGCATGTTTGCTGAGTTGGAGCTCTTGGCAGGGTTCCAGGGTTCAGATAAGCTGTCTGCTGTGTCTGTCCTCATGCCTCATGGCAGAAATAAAATGAGATTTCACCCTGCACTCTGTAGGCATCCACCACCATGGTGGGGGATGTCACCTGCAGATCGGCCTGTTGAGGCTTGCATCTTAAATGCTCCTAAGGCCACATGCTAAAGGCTTTATTGCAGGCTACAGTGATGTTGGGAGGCAGGCAACCTTTCCAAGTTAGTTCCTAGTAAAAGGATACTTAGGTCACATGGGATGGTCCCTTGGAAGGGATCATGGGTCCCTAGCCTCTTCCTTCCTTTCTCTTTTTTCTTCCTGGCCTTGCATTTTGTCCCACTGCGTGGGTGGTGCCCACTGTTATTCTCTGCCTATCCCGAAGACCCAAAACAAGGAAGCCAAGTGACTATGGACTGAAACCTTCAAAACAAACTCAAGTAAATCTTCCTTTACATTGTCTGTCTTAGGTATTTTGTCACAGAATGGGATGTTAAGACACGTGTTAAAACAGACTGCTCTGCTCATGGTGCCTGTCATGATCTGATCTGACTAGTCCATGCTCTCTTCTCACTCAGACTCTTTTGGTCATCTTCCCAGACTCACCTCCCAGGCCTTTAGGCCACCTACTCAATTCCTTCTTCACGCTGAATCATCTGTTTACAGCCAGAGAATTTGGTCTACCAGAAATGCTTTTGTTAGAGCAGAAAGAAGCGAATACTTGAAGCCTTTCTTTTCCCGGGGCTTTAAGAAAGAACATCTTTGGGAGGATTTTAGAGCCATCGTAACCAAGCCAGGATCCTTTCAACTTCTCTTCTCAACAGGTGCAGTCTGGCATGCAGAGAAAGGAACCATCTAGTCACATAGCAGGGGCTGAGTGAGTTGTGGGCTGGCCTTGGCTGGAAAGCATAGTGGAACGGGAACCTGCATAGGAACCTTGGTGATCAAGGGTATGACAGATGCTTCAAAGCATCTGGCCCACAGCATCTTGGGGCTGGCCCACAGACCAGTGCCAAAGGAAAGATCCCCAGGATGTGTCATCGCCTTAGCAGCTTGCCTCTCACCTTCCTTCTGGTCAGTTGGGGATCAGATTCAAAACTAACCCCTGGGCTCAGCTGAGTCACGAATGCTCTGGGAGTGCAAGTGCTCAGGAAGTGCTTCAGCTCTTCCGGTGGGGCTGAGATCCTCTGCACTCCGGGGCTTAATTTCATGTACTGAAAGGAAGCAAAGACCGGTGACCTGGCCACACTGTCCTCTTGATAGTAAGGGCACACTAGTCATGTTATTACGGGTTTTGGGGGCTGTGCTTGGATATCAGCAGATGGGGCATGACCACAAGTTTGTGGGTGAGTGAGTGTTTATAAGTGCATCCCTGTGGATAGTCTTAGAGGAAGACTCCCTCTCTGGGACTCTCCTCCATACCCTCATAACCACTTCATCAACAGATCTAGTACAGTCTGCCTGAAATAAAGCTCTGCCCCTAAATTGCCTCTCCCAGCCTTCTTGCCTGTCACTTTGAGCTGATGAGGACCTCAACCTCTATAAGGGCCTGGCTGCTTGGTCCAACAGCATTCACCTCTTCATTCTCCCAGCATTCCTTTCTCATATTTGGTGTGATACTTAGGCTTTAAAAACCTTGGGTGCACCCAGGGAACCACATAAATGCTAGAATGTTCATAGTGGGTACAGCTTGCCCTTTCCTAGCAGCCATACATGTATGGTTTGGGTTTATCCAGGCCCCAGCTCTTACTGTCATTTCACAGATGTGCAAGCTAATGTACAGCTTAACTTGGCTACCTGCAGTTAGGATGGACCATGCGGTCTGGCCACTGATACCCTGCCAGGCATTGTACTTTACTACTGTTTGGTAGTATATCATGTCATGGAATGGCAAGGCTTCCCTGGCCAGTAGATTTTTACCATCATTTCAGTGTTCATATCCATCACACTAGGGCTGTTAGAATTCTGGTTTCTCAGAATCAAAGCTGAAGGAGGGTAATTGAGTTGGCTAGGGTCACAGCAGATTAAGGAAATAGCAGGGATTCACTTCTGTTTTCTCTCTTGTGTGCTCGCCTGTCCGCCACCATGCTGCATGGATTGCCTCTATTGCTCACAGTGGTATCCCTGGCTTGCTATGATCTGGGTCAGTTCTCTCCTTCATCAGGAACTCATGTTCCCCTTGTTCATACTTTTGCTCAAAGTGTTCTTCTCGGACCAGTGAGGGCCTCAAATCATCCACTAGATCGCTCATGACAGGGACAGCTGTCTTCCTGTGATACAGGTCATGGTACCCACAAACAGGAGAGGTACTCCATCATCCCTGTAATAAGCCTTATAATAACATGTTGTCCCTTGAATTTATGATCTAGTTGTGTCTGTGTGTACCTTCCTGCCAGGTGGCCTTTTAAGACCAGGTGTCCCTACGTTTTGTCCATTTTATCCAGACCGTTGGCAGGCAAATAGCATATGTTTAGTAAATATTGTTGAACAAATGCAGCAGACAGGAATACAAAAGAGGAGGGAAATATAAAAATACCCTCAGCAGAACTACAGTGCTTAGAAAAATCCAGAGGGATTTTTGTTGGTGTTTGTTTGTTGGTTCGCATGTTTTCTCAGATATGCTTTAGGGAAACCCATGTCATTTAGAAACTTCCAGAAGGAAATGAAGCTAAATGTGATCCCATTGCAAGGCCTGTTTGTGTCAGTCTGTGGTCTCAGCTGAAGGAGGGAAACTGAAGGAGGAGGGTCAAATAGGTTCAAGATCTATCTGGCCTAAAGAGTGAGTACAAAGCCTGCATGCCCTAATGTGAGTTCAAGGTCATCATGGCAAACCTAGTGAAAGTCTGTTAAAGAAAAGAATTCTGGGAATGTAGCACAGTTGTAGTGTGTTTTCCTGACAAGTATAAGGCTTTAAATTCAATCCCTACTATCTGAAGATGAGTGGATGGGTGGATGCATGAATGGGCAAAAACATTCCGTTGAGCTAACCTTGCTGGTCTGCTTTGCCAGCTGGGTGGTTTTGGCTAATGTCCTGGCACAGAGCCTCTGGTTCCTTCTGTGAATATAGCATGCATAGGGGAAAGTGTAACCGTGGACTTTGGGACTTATTCAGGACTACCTCATAGGTCACTCCTGTGGAGGTACATGGAACCCTTGAAGATGGAAGCAGATATTGGGAAAAATCATCTTTGCTACTAGGAAAGCAAATTCTAGGAAAGTTGAATTAGGGCTAGCAAATGAAGGGAATGCCTGTCTGGTTCATCGGGCTTCTGCCTGCCTTTTGCATCCGGTACCACATTACTAGGCAGGTTTTAGGGTCCAGGAAGAGTAGGGAGGGTTCCCTTGGGTGTCTCCTAACATGGACTTTGACATTTCCTTTTGCCGCCCTCAGGTGAGCGTGTTGACCACCCTGGAACGCAGGTTCAACCTTCAGAGTGCCGACGTGGGCGTGATCGCCAGCAGCTTCGAGATTGGGAACCTGGCTCTGATTCTCTTTGTGAGCTACTTCGGAGCACGTGGGCACCGGCCGCGCCTCATCGGCTGTGGTGGAATCGTCATGGCCTTGGGTGCACTACTCTCAGCACTGCCCGAGTTCCTCACCCACCAGTACAAGTATGAGGCTGGCGAGATCCACTGGGGAGCAGAAGGCCGGGATGTCTGCGCCACCAACGGTTCCAGCAGTGATGAGGGGCCTGACCCTGACCTTATCTGCCGTAACCGGACAGCTACCAACATGATGTACTTGCTGCTCATTGGGGCTCAGGTGCTCCTGGGCATCGGTGCTACCCCCGTGCAGCCCCTGGGGGTCTCCTACATTGACGACCACGTACGGAGAAAGGACTCTTCGCTCTACATAGGTAGGCACTGCCTCTGCTTCATTGGTTGCTTGTAGCGGTACAAAGTTGGGTCCCTGGTTTGCTGGAGCGCTGGTTCGCAGAACTAGCTAACTGTCTCCAGGGTTAGTCTCTCAGAAAGTCTTACATGCTTGATGTTGGGGCAACGCAACTAGTGCACTTTTGAAAATCCGAGTGATGCTTAGATGCTGCCTGCATCTTAACCAGAACTTACAGGGGGAGGATCTGGTCTGGAGGGGTTTGGGGTCTGGTGTGTGTGTGTGTGTGTGTGTGTGTGTGTGTTGTGGTGCAGAGAGATTTGGGGTTGTGTAGTGTTCACCACTACATAGGAAATTTGGGGTCTTCATCTAAGAAATCCCAACTTTGAAGAATCAAAACTGCCTCTTGTTTTGTTTTTTGACCTAAAGGAGTGATTGATTTCATTGTCAGCATTTGGTATAACTCAGAGTAGATAGCTTCTGGTCATGTTTTCAACTAGCAACCTGCTCAGGAACTGGGTATTTAGAAAGAAATGAAGTATGTGCAAACTTTAAAGAACTATTTTCTGCTGAAGTAGTTTCTGTTATTTTATACTGCAAAGGTGGAAGAGCCCTAAGGTCTAGGGTTTCAAGAAACAGCTAAGCGACAATTTGCTCATGTGACAAATGGTGTCCTTGACCAAGTGATGGTGGACAGTTGGATGGTTGCTTGCCAGATATCTCTGGCCCTGACTTACTAAGGATAAATTTTGCTTCCAATGAAGACATCTCCAGCCACCGAGTGTGGAACTCTGAAAGACTGACCTCTATCTGGGAGACTGTGGTGTCACCTGACAGCATTGTGCCTTGAGGTATAAGGATAATGCTGTGGGCTTAAGTTAAAATAGAATTTGAACCAAAGTTGACATAAGCTGCTACTTTAGACAGCCCAAGCTTTCTAAGACAGGATGGCTGGGAGCAGGTACCTAGCCATAGGCCTGACACAGAGTTGATGCCTCGACTGAACAAGTGTGTTATATATAGATGTGTGCCCTTTCTGTGAGAGGAGGCTCTGAGTGAGAAAAGTAGAGAGTGTATGCTCCCCTATCTATGACGAATCCAGGACCTATCTGTGTGACAGGGCTTTCGACTGCTGAGGCAAAGATGCACAGTTCTGGTCCCCTCTCTCTGTATGGCTTGTGTTGTACCCTGGGGGTGGGTGCCCTGAGGTGGTGACTATGGTGGTTTATTTTTTGCTGCTGTGAAACCAGCATGTTGTTAAAACAGTATCTGGAACTATATTCTGACAACTGGCCTTTGGTTTGACTGATGTCGCCTTGGGACCTTGGGAAAGTTGTTTTCTGGTAGCAATAACAGAAGGAAATAGGCAATGAAAAGCTGAATTTGTCTCCCAAACAGTCAAATGAAACAGAAAAATCTCTCCCTAGAAATCACCCCAGACACCTTATCAGCTTTCAGTCACCTAGGTTTAGGGCTTCTCGGTCATTCCCTGAACAGATGTTCTCCCATGAGTTACTCTGATATTTCTCACACTGGTTAGGGTATTATTTGTATGATAGAAAGGGCATTTGAGTTTTCAGGTGGGAGGTAGACCCAAGATTAGTAGGACAAAAGAAGGCAAGGCGCTTTTTTGAATTCTCCGGTCTGCTCCATAAGATCTGTAGGAAAATTGTTTCAGCAAGATTTTTACTGTTACAGCAAGATTTTTGCACAGTGTATGGATATTGTAGTGCTCTAGTCTGTCTGACCAAATTCCAAAACAAGGCAGTGCACAGCTGTCTCTCTGAAATGGTTTCATGGGTCTTTTTAGAGTAGCTGAGAGCAAGGCTTCTGCACAGATTGGCCTCCATAGGTTGCTCTTTATTGAGTTCTCCAGGAACAGTTTCAGAAAACTATAGCATATGCAATGAATAGCTGGTGCATTTATGGCAGGGGCCATTAAAGACATGCCCACGGTCTCGAGACTTTTAAAGCATTTCTCTCTTCTAATTAGGCCCTAGTTCTGGAAGCCGCTTAACTTTGGTTTTAGAAGTAGTTGAGGGAGGGAATGCACTGCACAGAAGAGGGCTATCGGAAGCAAATTAAGCTAGGACTCTGGATGTAGATGTGACTTGTTTAGGAAGGGACACTATTTGTCATCTGAAAAGCTGGCCGAGGGGGAGCCTTTTTGTCAACATGCCTTGTTTACCACTGCTTTGGAGACAGAAACAATGTATGTATTGCATATGGAAAATATTGCAGGCTTGAAAATACAGGCCTGTTTCCAAGTGATCCGTTCTGTATGGGCCAGGGAGCCTCAGCCTGCACTGTTTAGACTTCATGTCATCGGAAACCAGACCTGTTGTTCATTGCCTGCATAGTAGGTCAGAAGGTGGGTGCTAGCCACACATCGATGGCCAGGTCATAGACTTCCACAGAAGGGAAGCAGAACAGCTCAAGTCCCTCCAGCATTTCCCACTGAAACCATTGCTTCCTCTGACTCTTGTGGCTGAACTCTTGCAGAGCCCCTGGATTTCTGCATGGGCCATTAACAAGGCTAGCCCTGTTCTGAGGCCAGTCCTTTCTAGAGTGAGGGGGGACTTGAGGGAGCTCATTACCAAGGGACAAAACTGGATGAATGGGGACTCAGCTCTGCTGGCAGCCTTTTCAGGACATTTCAATACAGCAGCAGTGTGTGGAGCCCAGCCTCACAGGATGGCTGGGTAATGACCTGGGGGTGGCGCGTGGCACTCTTTGTTCTCATAGGGAATGGGAATGGTCATGGTGAAAACCATTTGGGCACTCCGGAGGTCCAAGAATCAACCCTTTAGGAGTCCGGCATGCTTTAGCTACATGTTGTGACCATCCATTAGCCTGGTTTTCTTAGGTGTCCTTTTGTCTCTCCAAGTTCAAAATAGATCAAGTGGAGCTTACTTTTTATGATAGTGTAAGTGAGGTGAGATAATGGACTTTCTTTACCATGGCCTTTTACTAGGTTGCTTCTTTAGTTTGTTATTGCCTATTTTTATTTATTTTTTTATTTTTACTTCTTGGAAGGAGAAAGGTGAAATGAGAATGACAAAGATTGAGGGAAAAAAAACAACTTGGAAAAGTGTTACACATTTACCATTGGCAATTTTGTAGATACAGAAAAGAGAGTAATGAGGGAATAGTTACTCCCGGCTTTATAATATATGTAATTCTAGTATTCTAGTCTCTTTTTCTGCATTGATATGCTTTTCAGCAAAAATGTGCTCATAATAAACAAGATTTTGTAATTTCATATCTCTTAATATTTTATGAGCTTTTTGCCATGTTACTAAATATTCTTGTATGGCTCTGGCTGCATACAGAATATTCCCTTGTGAACATATACTGTACTAGAAATGTTATCTATTGTTAAAAAGGAGTTGTCAGGATTATCGCTGGTGTAAATGAAACATGTCAGTAAACTGTGATTCCTAGAGGTTAAACTCCTTGCCAGAAATGATTGATCTGGATGTGGCTGCACATTCCCGATGGATCTGAGATCTGTCCAGAAGGCTGTAGTTGGTTGGTGGGGTTGTGATCCAGGGTCAAGAAGAGGCCAAGGAATTTTACCAGAGAGCTTTAAGCCCTCAGGAAATGCTGAGAGCCATGAAGGTGGCAGGGATGGGACTGTGTTTGAAGTCCAAAAATGGGCCAGCTGTTGTGAATAGTGGGGGCCAAAACTGAATAGGGGCTGGAGAAAAAGACAGAGATAGGAGGTGAGCATAGCTTGTATTCAGGTCAAGGTTCTAGAAGGTGATTGTTCTATATGTATAAAGTTGAATCTAGATCAGAGTCCCGCCACTCGGCACAAGGCAGCTGGGGGAATCTTCCTTCTGTTCCAGCACTGTGGACAGTGCAAGCCTGTCTGTTCCTTCCATTTGTTGTAGCCATCAGCAGCACCATCAGGAAGTTTGCCTCATGCAGTGCTGGAGCTCCTGATCCTTATAACTTTCCTCTAACCCTCTTTCTTATGGCACACCCTGGGCCCTACAGACACATTTCTGCCCCTCCCCCACAACCATTCCATCGTGTGATGACTCCCCTAAGCACCAGCCTTGCATGGGCAGGAAGGCTGCTTAAAGCCAACGTCTTCCTTGCTTAATGGGTTCCAACTTCACTTCTCCTCAGAAGAGATTTCAAGAGCTGGAGGGCTAGACTAGTCATAAGACAAAAAGCAAGTGAATGGAGGGCTTGTGCATTAGTTTGCAGGGCAAAACACTCTGCACTGGGAGATAAGACCACACATGTTTCCTCCCGGGTCTGGAGAGGTTCAAGGTCAAGGTACAGGTAAGGTGGGTGTTTCCTGAAGCCTCTCTCTGTAGCTCACAGAAGGCTAATACTGACTCTTTTTGTAGCTGCCCCTCTATCCTCCTATAACCGTAAGGTCACTTTTGTAACCCCAATTTCCCTCTCTTTTAAGAGGATTGGTCTGATTGTGTTAGGGCTCATTCATGGGGGGCTGAACCTCAATGACCTACTCAAAGTCCCTAGACAACTAATTATTTAAGGGTGTAGCTTTTTTTTTTTTTCCAAATAACTTCTAAGTTTGTAGTAATGATAGAATCACAGATTGTTTTAAAAATCTAGAGAAGTTCCCTGTACCTTTCATCTAGTTTTTCCTCAGGTATATGATGATACCTCAGTTAGTAAAGGGCTATCTTTGTAAGAAGGAGGACGCAAGTTTGACCGTCAGACCTCATATTTCCAAAACACCCTGGCTTGGCAATATGTTCTTGTAGTTCCAGTGCTGGGGAGGAAGAGACAGGTGGATCCCAGGGTTATCTGACCAGCTAACACAGCTTACCTGCCAAGCTCCAGACCAGTGAGACACGTACCAAAACCAGAGGTTGCTGGTGTCTGAGGACGGACTCTCAAGGCGGTCCTCTGGCTTTTACACATGTACCCACATATAGGAATAAATGTGGGTGTGTGTACACTGAGAGAGAGAGAGAGAGACAGAGAGCGAGAGAGAGAGGGAGGGATGTGGATCAGTGGTAGAATATGTGGTAGCATGCA